TATATATATATAAAAGAATTATATGTATACTTAATAAGATAAAAATAACAACTTGTCTAGGAAACCGGGAAGAAGGATGATGTAATAATCTTATAATGTTCAATAAAAACAACTTAAGAGAATAATTTTCACCTCAGGAACAAGATAACAACAACTTACTGCCTCCAACATGCAAATGAGGGCCAGTTACTCCCAGGTATAATGTAACCTTATATCAACACCCTGCCTCACGCTTATAGCCCCAACATAAACTTGCGACGCTGGAGGAAAAAAAGTCAAGCGAACGTCCGCCAGGGGTAGAATACAGTTCCCACACGTAACTTAATTCCACATTCCAAGTAAAGAATCGTTTTGGTGTAAAGGTAGAAGTTAGGCGAACGTTCGTCTGGCGAATATCACAACAACCATATTCCAATTATAAAATCGTACTGGTATAGGTTAGGTTAGGTTAGGTTAACTTCTCTCCGTGAGTCTCCTGTACCCTGTGACCCAGCCCGTGGCCCTGTGGCCCTGTGGCCCAGCCAGGTAGAGGGAGGCCCGAAGCCCCAGGACACAGTTACAACAAGCGGTAATCGTCCCTATGATCCGCCCGTGGAGGCCATTCTCCCTCACTCAGCTGGGCCAGGGCAGGGGAGTCTCGCCTCTATAGACCGTCCATAGAGGTCATAATGGCTGGTAGGTAAGGGCACCCCGCTGGGTAATCACACCTCTCAATGGTCAAGAAGAAAGGAAAGGTGTGAGATGGTAATTGGTAATAATAGGTTGTGGTTGCTAACAGGTGTCATGTGTCAGCACCTGGTGATGAACAGCGGCTCACCTCACCTCTCACCTGGTGTACCTGAGCTGGGCCCTTAAGCTGCCTCACGACTTTACCTGCGATAATTCACCTTCACAATGAGTCTGGTGTTCTTTCTCACCCCGCCCAGTCTATACTGACAGCGCCAACACGAGCAATCACTATCGCTTGACGTTCCCCTCATCACTTATGAAAGCTGCGACGGGCGAACGTTTGCCAGTCTTTTGTGTGTTTTACCTTACGCCAGCAATTAGGTACAGTACATTCATACATTTCAAGTTCGAAAGATAATTATATGCAAGAACTTTTGAGAATTTGGATCACCTGAAAATTAGACACCCTACTTTAATTCACCTGTAGATTAACCACCCTAACGCTAACTAGTGGGGTTAGGTTAAGTTAACATTAAGGTGATAATACTTAGGTGAAATAAACTAGGGTGTCTAATCTTCAGGTGATTCGATGAATATCCTATTTGAGTATTTCATTTCTTAAAGATTTTGGTGGAAGTAAATCTATTGTTATCTGGCCACGAGAGTAAACATAAGTAGCTTTTATTAATAGTGAAGATGTTTTAATGTAAATATTACAGAAGGGCGGGAATACAAAGTGCTGTTATTATTATTATTATTATTATTATTATTATTATTATTATTATTAAGGTCAATAGTCTTTATTATACTGCTTTTGTTATTATTTCTGCTATTTGTGTGGTTAATATTACCATAATGATAATTTTACTACTACTACTACTACTACTACTACAGCTACTATTACTATTATTGTAATTACCACTATTATTTCTATTATTACTATCATTCTCATTATTAATATTACTATCATCAACACCATTATTATTTCAATCAATATAAAATCACAATATTTATCAAAACTATCTAAATTGGTCTCTAAACTACCTAACCTAACCTAACCTAACCTAACCTAACCTAACCTAACCTAACCTAACCTAACCTAACCTAACCACAACTAGACTCTTCCCTATCCCAAAGTGTAATACTTACCCATAACCAAACACCTATGACATCTCCAGGTGTTAATGAATAAGGTAAAGAGGAAAATGACAAACCAATTATCACCTTTTGGTCATTAGAAACTTTATTTGTCTTGCGAAATAACCATATATATTTATGTACATCAACAATAAACAAACAAACAAATGATCTCTAGATTCATTTGACCACCGCAATGACTTTATTTTTTATTTATTTATTAATTTACCTTTTTTTTCTAGTCATTCTAAAAAGCATTGTTGTGGAGAGAGCAGAATGGGCCAACGTGTTATACTCAAGGTGAGGATACGTGTGTGTGTGTGTGTGTGTGTGTGTGTGTGTGTGTGTGTTTACAGATATAGGTTTCATGAGCTTGTAAACAGGTGTCGTGTGTGGACCTGTAAACATCATGTAGATATAATATTGTATAAAGGTAAACAGGTTTCTTAGGTTATTTTTTTTTTAACTGATGATTTACAGAAGAAAAAATAAAAGTGAAATTCCCGGGAAAATTTGAGGGGGGGGGGAAGGTGATTTAGGGAGAATTGTTTCTGTTCCTTGCTGGTTACGTCATCACGGTCGTTAATTAGCTACAGGTGTCATTACAGGTAAGCTTCTGAACGACCTTGTTTTAGAGAATCACTTTTGTTTTTTGTTTTGCTTTTTTTTTAGTCATCACCTACCATAACTACTACCATTGCCATCCACCACAACTACTACCATTACCACCTTCCATAATTACCACTATTACCTTTCACCACACTATTATCATCAACTACACCCACCACCTCCACCAGTCATAATAACAACTATCTTTCACACACCCACCATAACTACCACCATTACCACCCACCAAAACAACCACTATCACCACCCACCACCATCACCACACCACTACAACAACTACCACCATTATCACCATCCAACCCAATATGAGCACTGAGACTTCTACAACCACTACAACTACCACTACCATTATCACAACCACAACAACAATTACCATAACTACCATGTATGTTGATGACGAGTAGATGATATTGATGACGAGTAGATGATATTGATGACGAGTAGATGATATTGATGACGAGTAGATGATATTGATGACGAGTAGATGGTACTGATGACGAGTAGATGGTATATTGATGACGAGTAGATGGTATTGATGACGAGTAGATGGTATATTGATGACGAGTAGATGGTATTGATGACGAGTAGATGGTACTGATGACGAGTAGATGATATTGATGACGAGTAGATGGTATATTGATGACGAGTAGATGATACTGATGACGAGTAGATGGTATATTGATGACGAGTATACTGATGACGAGTAGATGGTATATTGATGACGAGTAGATGATATTGATGCCAAGTAGATGATATTGATAATGAGTAGATGATCAACTTATACTGGCTAAGCCAGGCAGACGTTCGCCAAACGGTAGCTAAGGTTTCTTTGGTCGAGATGACGTAGGGGAAGGTCCAGATTAGGTTAGGTGAGGTTAGGTTATGTTAGGTTAGGTTAGGTTAGGTTAGGTCCAGGAGGAAAGGTAAATAAAGAAGGAATTTCACTTTTGTTTCTGTAATCATCACAAGTTAATGTCAGGTTAGGTTAGGTTAGGTTAGGTCAGGTCAGGTCAGGTCAGGTGGTCTCCCCGACGCAGCTCTTATTGGCAACAGGAATAATACACACGATTCTTTATTTGTTGATTCTCAGGTCAGGATTTTCACTAAGTTGTTTTGATTATGTTACAAAGTGGCACAAATTGGTAGGCGACAAACCTACATACACTAAACCACCAGGATTCCAAATTGGCTTTTTTATTATCCTTAATCCTGAAGAAACCCCTATTTTATTCCCCCATTTTATTGAGAAATATGAACAGTCTCTCATATCTTAATTATACCTGTATACACCTTGTTACAAGCATTATCAAAAACTTAGTCTAATTATATATATATTTATATAATCTATTTATATATATGTAAAAAATCACACAACACTCTTGTACATCTGCTAAAAAAATTATCTGGCTTTTGTGTTTAACGTTGCGTATTGTGATGCAAGAAGAAACACAGCTGTCTCGTAACACCTGTCAACACCGGAACCTTCATGTTAATCTGCGGCAACACCTGTGAGGACCCTGGACATGTGTGGGGTCCAACATCTAACATCTACCAATCTTTAACACCTGCCTGCTCGGTGAACAACATACACCGGTCTCCAGGACATATTATGTTCTTCAATAACATCTTAGACTAAGTTATAGCATAAGTGTGTTAACAAGAGACATAGTTTACCTGTGTTCAGTATATGTGTTCTTCAATAACACCGTTCACCAATCTTAACAACATGTGTGTCCTCTGCAAGAACACAATCTGTCTTCAGTATCTATGTGTGTTATCACATTTACAACACCACTGTGTACACACACTACAGTACACCCAAAATAAGCTGAGCATATCTGTGTACCACAACAGTCTTCAACACCTCCTGTGTACTCACATCACAAATGCTAAAGCTGATTAAAATACCTTCCAATCTGAAATAACTTTCCAATACACCTTTGTTGAAACACCTGATAAGATCAATTACAGCACCGGTAATGTTATCAACGGCCCTGTGTGTTGATGTTACACCTGTTATATTCATTTACAACAAGAGTCAACCTTCGGTACATCTGTAACTCACTCTAACACCTGCAACTTTTTCAACAGCATCTGTAAGGTACTCGACAACCTTCAGTCCTGCAGTCTGTACACAAGAGACGTGCATGTGCTCCCCCTATCGACACTTCCCCCGCCCCCACAACCGACATTCTCCCCCACCCCAAGTCGATACTCCCCCCACACGTAGACACTCCCCCTCCACGTCGACACTCCTCTCACACGTCGACACTCCCTCCCCCACACGTCGACACACACGTCGACCTCCTCCCACGTCCTCCCCCGCCGACCTCCTCCCCACACCACCTCTCCCCCCACCCACGTCGACATTCCTCCCACACGTCGACACTCCCCACGTCGACACTCCCTCTCCCACACGTCGACACTACCACACACGACACGTCGACACGTCACCCCCTCCCCACACGACACTACCTCCCCACGTCGACCTCCCCCCGTCGACACTCCTCCCCCACACCACACGTCGACACCGACACTCTCCCCCACCCCACGTCGACACTCCTCCCACACGTCGACACTTCCTCCCCCACACGTCGACACCCTCCTATGTACATCCCTGTTAAAAACTTTTGATTCTTCTTTCAAATATTTTCTCTCCATCTGGGTTCAGGGATATGAGGGAGACAGGCCCACCCCTTCACAGAACCAGACGGTCTTGTGTGGCATAGGATTATCTTGCTATAAAAAAGATAGAGAGTACGGCACTAGTTCACTATGTATAGAGAACATTAAGGTTTAGTCTCGTAAAGTATTATCACTATTATAAAACAGTATGTGCGTTATACATTAGTCACAGGAAGCTTGTTAAAGTTTTTGCTTGCTATACAAATTACCATGTCCCTCTTTCATCAAGTATTTAGAGCAAAATACTGTGTTTTTTTCTTCTTTTTTTTTGGAAATTTCTATGTACATTATTTGATTATGAGTCTATATTATACTCTAGGCGAGAATTTTAGTAACTATCACTCAGGAAAATTATAGTACTTATTAACTAAAGATAACATACAGAAGGTAATAGGAATATATGACCAAGAAGTGTAAGTTGACGAGCAGTACAATAACAACACACGAGAAATGATAATATTTGACTCATCATCGCTACAAATTGAAACTTTTTAAACACAAACAATTACTATGTCAGAGATCAGAGGAACGACCGAGTGAAACAGAACACCAGCTCTTGTTTCATAATTTAGGAAGCCATTTTTCTCAACCTACTGTACTGTAGCTAAGTCACTGATGCTGCTGTAAGATACATTATGTTATGTACAAAAGCTGTGTGGCCTCGTGGCTCTAACCAAACAGAGTCACTTACAAAAACTCATTATCAAGGAAACAGCGAAGAGAGTTCATGTGTTTTATATCCTCAGAGAAAGTGGATAAAAAGTAAAGAAAGTCACCACAATAATGACTCCACTAGACAGTACTCGACAATGTTCTCACAAGTGACACACAAGCGTCAACAAACTCTTATAACAACTGCTGGTGTTAGTAAATCACCACGAACAATACCGCCTAAAAAGCACAAATCAAAGTGATTCAAAGTAAGCGCATTTTATTCCCAACATGTATGTACAACTGGACAATTGATAATTATGGCAGAACAAGTCGCTAGTTTCAAAGCAAAAATGATGAACTGTGTCACAGCGGCAGTAAGAAACAAGCACACTCGCACTCACTGCTTCAGCCTTAACAAGATAAACGTGATGGGAGATGGAGAGAGATGTAGGGAACAAGGATGAGCAGTTCTTGACTGACAGTGATGGTTTAGTGTCTTTCTGCGACGTGTGTGTGTGTGAGAGAGAGGAACGAGAGAAGCAGCAGGTCACTCCTGGGGCTGGCTGGCAGAGCTCACCTCCCTGCCTTAGGTCTCCAAGACTTCTTACTCCGTACACCTATACCATAAAAGAAGAGCTACCACGAGCACTCAACAATGTCTGGCATGCTCTTCGATTCCGCAATGTCACGCACATGGAAGCTCCGCTGGACGAATGTTCGCCCGTCTTGTGCCTGCACTGGCGCTCTTTTATGGTACAAGTATCATGTAAGGGGCAGGGAGTAGTGTGTGGGGTGTGGTGTGCTCTACAGTGCTCGCCCAGCTCCTGAAGTTGTTGCTGCTTGTATTTATTGTCTCCCTGAAGGGATGAGCTTTCATATGAGGTCCGTCTTGTAGCCCAGCGCTGCCTCTGGCTACCTGAGAATGGGCCACTAGTATCCCTGGCGTCTTGCTGCTGACTGTCACCAGTCTGGGACCAGTCTCACCTGTGTCTACCGTCTGACAGGTCACGTGACGAGTGTCGCTCCTTCGGCCTCCGGTGTTGGCCCTCTGGGTGGCCGCTCGCTGAGTGGTATGGTGTTCTCCTTCTTCTCGGCGGCAGCTTCTCCTCCTCCAGTTTCTTGTGGCGCTCACCGTCGTCACGGAGGTCGTCAGTATCACAGCCCTTCCCTCGACCCTCGGCACAGAAGGTCTGCATGTGTATCTGTTCGCTGTAAGTCTCGAACTGTATTCTCTCTTCTCTTCTGTCTAGCGGCATAGGCGGCATAGGAACGAAACTCCTCTCTGTGTCGCCTATAGTTTGTTGATGCAGAGAATGAAGTAGCGGGAGTGGTGTAGAACAGTACCCGCTGATGGACTCCGCTGGACCCGTTCTCTCTATCACAGATTCGCCTAAACGGTGGCTCTTTGCTCGTTGTCTTGGGGTGATGTCCAAGTCCTCAGATCCTCTCCTGCGGTCTTGGCTCCTGTCTCGCTTTCTCCTGCTGGGGTATTTTGGGTGGATGACTCGGTCCTCGGGTCTGCGATATTGTACTCCGTCCTCTGAGGAATCCTGACTCTTCCTGGCGTCCAGATGATCCTGTGACCTTGATCTCTGTCGTTTTCTCTTCTTGGGCGTGGTGGAGACGTCCCTTTTGACTATCTTTAGTCTCACTTCATCCACTTTTTTCTCTCTGTTACTCGGTCTCGGTAACCTCTGTCTGTGTATGTCACTCTTGTCCTCTACTCGCCTGCCGCCAGACACTCTCGGGTCGCCGGCAGGGAGACTGTGTTTCCTGGCCTCACACTGCTCCACGGTGGCGACCTCTACTGGGATGTCCTGCCCCACCAGGTCCCCCAAAGACCTCCTCTCCCACTCCTCACTGGGCACTTCTGGCTGGGGCGGCCGCTCACGACGAGGAGGTAACCTGGACAGCTGCCGGAGGAGAGCATCTCGCTGGGACTCTGCCTGACGGAGCCGTGTCCTGAGTTCTCTCTCAGAGTCCTGCCACAGCTGCCACAGGTCCGCCTTGGTCACGTGGCGTAGGTGATCAGAGTTCACCCGTTCTCGACCTGCTGGTAAACAAGGCAAATTGTGAACTGTTGTCCTTAGTTCTGAAATAAACGTACAGGTAAAAAATGTATCTTAAAACTGGTCCCATAAGCCTGGGGTACTGTGTGCACAAGGGGCAGTGTGGCCGGCACCTTCTCTTCCTTAAGTGTAGAGTTATATGCCCAATTACAGCAGGGTGGACTGGGTGCGAACCAGAGACCCTTGGGATAGGAGGCGAGTAATGTAACCACTCGCCAACCACACCCAGGTATAAAGTACAGACCCACTAAATACGATATAATTGGAATATAACTAAGGTAGTGCCTTAACCTAAACATTATTAACATGTAACAAATTGTGATGTTTAAAAATAATGTTAACTTATTGATTTTGTTGCTGAAGAATATTAGTTACTTTAGGTACTTAAAATAACTTGATGGTGTAGATAACTTACTTCTAAACACGGGTGATCCTCGGTGATGCTGGTCTGGCTAACTCTTCATGCACTTGTTGTATCTTAACTTATAGATGTACTCAGGACGTAAACATAACATAATCATGATATTCATTGCAGGAATAATGATAAAAATAAATAGAAATAATAATAGAAACAATGATAGCAATTATAATAAGGTTATACTACTACTATTACTACTACTACTATTACTACTACTACTACTACTACTACTACTACTACTACCATTACTATTACTACTACTACTACCATTACTACTACTACTACTAATAATAATAATAATAACAAATAAAAATAATATATTGAATGACCATTAGCCTGTACTTACCTTTGTCAAGAAACTAACAGGTACACACAACACCCTCATACCGGCACTCCTAACCCAGGTACCAGAGGTCGAGTGGTACTGACAACTTGGTAGTACAGGGTTCGAAACCCGGTATGAGAATGACTGTCTGGCAAAGAGAGTGTCAACACCAGCTGAGGACCTACCGGGGGAGAGGGCGGCCACCAGCTGTAGTGACCCAGACGACCTGAGGGCTGACTGCTGTGAGAGTGGCACCAGACGCACTCCCTCATAGCTCCTCTCTCCTGAAGCTTCCACAGCGATGGCCTCCATGTCCTCCAAGGATCTGGTGTTCCAAACGAGGTCTTCAGAGGTCTCCGAGGTGCGTGGGAGGCCCGGGGAAGGTACTAAGACAGACGGGACAGTTGTAGTACGGAGTGAAGGGGAGGAGAGCTGCAGCAAAGGGTTAGCGACGCTTCCTCTGTGACGGAGGCCATTGGCTGTGCCGGCTATGACTGGGTACGGTTCACCTAAGGTGCTCTCTCTTAAACTGGAGGCTCCGCTGCAGGGAAAACAGCTGCCGTCTGCATTCTTGTGTGCCTGTCTGGTGCTGTCCTGTCGCTGTAGACAGTTGAGACAGCCTCCTGATGCCTTGCGACGGGTGCTGCCTCCGTCCTGTATAGAACAAGAGCACACCTCACACTCCCTCAGCACGCCGCCCTCAGCCACCGCTGCCCTGTACGCCTGAGTCTCCTCCAGCTGTTGGTTGAGATTATTGACCTCGAACAGTTCTTCAGGATCACTAACCCGAAGAATAAGGATCCCTGAGCCTGAATACTCCTCCTTGACCTCTTCTTCTTGGACGTATCTGTTGGTGAGGTCAACCTCTGAGGGGTCCAAAGGGAGGGAACTGTTGACCACAATGATGCCCTCAGAGTCCTCGCGAGGGTCGGGGCCGGGGATGTAGTCGATGGTGATGGGTGCTGGGGAGAGGGTGGTGGTGGAGAAGGGTGAAGGGGGAGCTGGGGTCAACTCTGGCATGTGGTGGGAAGGGGTCGAACCTCTCTTCTTGGATCCTTCTGTCCCGATGGTGGTGGTCGACACAGGCAACACCTCCTCCTTCTCGGCCTTTTGTACTCTGTCAAAAATAAACTTCCATTAGAAGAGAAAACTATCCTGAATTACCTTGAAATATCTACAGAAGATTACCATCATTTAAAACTCGTACATTACCATTCTTTGCAATATTTACACTAACCATTCCTTGCAATATCAATGTTAATCATTCTTGCAACATCAACACTTATTTTTTTATGCAATAACAACACCAACTATTGTTAAAAGTAAATAAAAACAACAAGTCATTAGAAACAACTTCACTATGCACTCACTCCTAAAACACATCACACTAATTCCCATACGCAAAACACCTTTCTATTCTAGTGTTTGTGATAGAAACATGAAATACAGAGAGCGTGTGTGAATCCTCTTGAAGACACACACACACACACACACACACACACACACACACAACACACACACACACACACACGCACCGACCTTCTAATCTCCTGAATCATCTCGAAGAACTGAGCTTTACTCTTCCTCCTTCGTCTCTGTTCGTTCTCCTTCTGCGGAATAAATCATCCATTACAAAACAAAATTAATGCTTGTAATTACAGTGTTAAGAGGGGGCGTAATGGAAGGTAATTACAGTGTTAAGAGGGGGCGTAATGGAAGGTAATTACAGTGTTAAGAGGGGGCGTAATGGAAGGTAATTACAGTGTTAAGAGGGGGCGTAATGGAAGGTAATTACAGTGTTAAGAGGGGGGGCGTAATGGAAGGTAATTACAGTGTTAGAGGGGGCATAATGGAAGGTAATTACAGTGTTAAGAGGGGGCGTAATGGAAGGTAATTACAGTACACAATTAATACATTAATTACCCAAGGTCTCAGTATAGGTTCTCCTGACCGAGTCGATTACGAATCTATGGTCTACGATTCGATTATTGGGAGTGAGTGAAATTGGTCATGTGGGTTTGGAATATTTTGTAGCTTTTTTTTTCAATGCTATTTACTGTGCCTTTGCTAACTGGGGGTTTTAGAGGTGATTGTTTGGTGTGTTGTATTGTTATTAGAGATGAATTAAGACCTTCTCACACAGGGGGGATGGGGTAAGGGGTGGGAGGGTGGGGGGAGTGGGGGGGGTGGGGAGAGGGGGTGGGGGAGGGGTGGGGGTGGGAGGTGGGGGGTGGGGGTGGGGAGAGGGTGGGGAGAGGGGTGGGGAGAGGGTGAGGGGTGGGAGGGGTAGAGGGGGTTGGGGGGTGGGGAGGTGAGGGAGAGGGTGGGGGGGAGAGGGGTGGGGGGTGGGGGGAGAGGGGGGTGAGGAAGAGGGTAGGGGTAGGGGAGAGGGGTAGGGGAGAGGGGTAGTATTATATGCAAATTTAATAATACGTGATGATTTATATGCTAATTCAAGCGAGGTGTGAGGCGTAAGAAGCTGACGAGAATGATGGAGTTAGGTAATCACTTTAGACTTGGGGGTGTTGGTACAGTGAAAACCTCCGTATAACGGATTTATCTCTTTATACAGTCCGCTAAATGGAGGTAAACCTGACCTAATCTAACCTAAATTAAATTAACCTAACGTAACCTAACGTAACCTATCCTAACCTATCCTAACCTAACCTAACCTAACCTAACCTAACCTAACCTAACCTAACCTGGACAAAGAACTAATATTTATCTGAATATCAGGAAAATATTTCAGGCGTAATACTCAAGATTTATCCCTGAACAAATGTCTTATACCTTATACCTTATACCTCATACCTTATACCTGATATTTCATACCTTACACCTTATACCTTATACCTTATACCTGATACCTCATACCTTACACCTTATACCTCATACCTTACACCTTATACCTGATACACCTTATACCTTATACCTCATACCTTATACCTGATATTTCATACCTTACACCTTATACCTTATACCTTATACCTGATACCTCATACCTTACACCTTATACCAAGTACTGAATAATGTCTACAGATTTCCTGGAACTTGAAAGAGAGACTCAGGATATTATCAATAACTTATACCAGGAAAATTGTATATAAAACCGTATCCTTTTCCACAAAAATCCGACGAATATAAAACCTTATCTTTTGACGGCCATTTGGATCATGTCCAAGACGATTTTTTTACGAGGGAAGAAGAAGGTTCAAGATATTACACCCACACACCTGACAACCATACACCTGACACCCCCTCAACACCTGACACATGGACAAATGTGTCAAAAAATTATCTTCCATAAATATCTGTACACCTTAAAGCCCTTTGAGTCCTGAAGGGTTAAGTTCGCATCAAAGGGTTAAATCATCGTCGTCAAAGGGTTAAATCATCGTCGTCAAAGGGTTAAATCATCGTCGTCAAAGAGTTAAATCATCGTCGTCAAAGGGTTAAATCATCGCAGTCTAAGGGTTAAAACATCGTCGTCAAAGGGTTAAAACATCGTCGTCAAAGGGTTAAATCATCGCCGTCAAAGGGTTAAATCATCATTAAAGGGTTAAATCATCGTCGTCAAAGGGTTAGATCATCGCCGTCTAAGGGTTAAAACATCATTAAAGGGTTAAATCATCGCCGTCTAAGGGTTAAATCATCGTCGTCAAAGGGTTAAAACAACATTAAAGGGTTAAATCACTATCATCACCACCATCATCACCACCATCGCTTTAATACCTCACCAAACATCTCAAAGAACATCCCTAATTTTTATAACTCCAGGTAGATGACTTACCTGAGAGTGATTCATAACTCTACATTAATCACCAATAACTGCCTAACAACCACAAGAGCTCACCCTTTTAACAGACTTCTGGAAGAGTCCCATGATCTGTCCTGTCCTGAGGTTGTTGGCCAGTTCCTTAGCTGAGTGATGAGGTGAGACCAACTCCACACAGTTGATGAACTTGTACAGCTTCTGAAAATGGCAGACATCTTTAGTGACACGTCTTATAACCTAACCTAATCTAACGTAATCTAACCAAACATCTTTAGTAACACGTCTTATAACCTAACCTAATCTAACGTAATCTAACCAAGTATCTTTAGTAACACGTCTTATAACCTAACCTAACCTAACCTATCATCTTTAATTACAGGTCCTATAATAATGATGTTTATTTGACCAAATTTGACGTAACGTAACGTAACCTAACCTAATCTAACGTAACGTAACGTAAACCTAACCTAACCTGAAAATTAAAAAAAAAACGTTAAAAAGAATTAAAACTCTGTCATTCACTGATAACTTACATCCACAGACTTTGACCAATTTAAGAACATAATTTGTATTCATAAAGTTTGCAACATAAACTATTATTTCCATTGTTTACTGAGACAAAAGCCTAGTCTCTTTTGTTATGGTATGAACAACACGTGAAAAAGCTGCAGAGAGAGAGAGAGAGAGAGAGAGAGAGAGAGAGAGAGAGAGAGAGAGAGAGAGAGATAATAAAAATAACACACACACACACACACACACACACACACACACCATACCTGACTGAAGAACATAAGATTCCTATTCCTCCAAAAGGACGCCTTAGGTTTGGTTCTGAGGGAGGGCAGGGCGTAACGGTAGACCACATGCTCTAGGATCAACAAGAAGAATCCTATACCAATCCCCAGCGTGAGCATCAAGAAGACTCCTCCTACGGTACTGATCTCCAGGGCTTGGGGTTTGTAGATGTCAGCGGAGACCCGGAAACAAGGGAGTTCTCCGTACCATTTGTGTTTGAGGTGATCCAGGTGTCCTGAGGCGAGATACCTGGCCAAGATGGTGTTGATTTTTACCTGTGGGGGAGACAAAGGGGTGAGAGTTAGTGGGGAGAGAGAGAGAGAGAGAGAGAGAGAGAGAGAGAGATCTACTAACTACCAATCTCTTTCACGTGAGAGAGTTCGCAAGAGAGAGAGAGAGAGAGAGAGAGAGAGAGAGGCCGTGAGAAAAACATGTTTTGATCTTGTTCTATACACGGGCGGGCCATTAACTAAAACAAATGGACCACCGAGTCTCTTAAAACATTTATACGACAACGATGTATTTACCTGAGAAATAAACGAACCAGGTCGTTTAACTATAAACAATTTACCTCATTTCTTTAATAAACATCTGTTGCAGGTGTGTTTTTCTCTCTTAGTTCTGTACACCTGTGTCTGTATGGTTAATTAGGTGGTTAAATGAATCCCAAACCTAACCTAACCTAACCTAAACCTAACCTAACCTAACCTAACCTAATGAACGGCCCTGAACATGAAACAAACAAGACTTAACGATAAATCATCCTTGTCCCCTAACCTGTCAGTCCACTAAGGAAGGATAGAGGGGCTAGGGAGAGAAGGATAGGTTATGGTAAACACAATTATCCTTCATCCTCTGTAGGGAGTAGGGGGAGGAAGGAGAGAGAGGCAGGGAGAGAGGGAAGGAAGGGATGGAGGAAGGGAAGAAGGAAGGAAGGTGGTAGGGAGTGATGGACGAAGGAAGAGAGGGAGAGAGGAAGGACGAGAGAGAGAGAGAGAGAGGAAGGTTGATGTTGCTGTCATCTCTGAAGGTCTTGGGATAATGGAGGTGAACTTGGCAGCATCCTTATACACACAAACACACACACACACACACACACACACACACACACACACACACACACACACACACACACACATACAGACACACACACACACACACACACACACACACACACACACACACACACACACACACACACACACACGGTCGACTACGAATCTAAGAGCCTTACAAAATTCACAGCAAAAATAAACTCTCTCTCTCTCTCTCTCTCTCTCTCTCTCTCTCTCTCTCTCACTTTTTCTCTGGCTGTGGACGGAATTCTGGAGACTGTATCAAGCCAAATGTGTTTTAGATGACTGTAGGAAAATACCATCAATCAACTATTACTGAAATTTCCTCTTTGGGTAAATTGAACAAACTTAGAAAACTCGTTAATCAGATCTTGCAAGAATCAAAGTTAGAAGGAGATTCTTTTTGTAGTATTAAATAGAATCACGAGTTAGAATCATTTTAATATAGTGTCATTGAGATTTATATTATTATTATATTATATATTTTTTTAATGGTGCTTTCGTCAAGATACCATATGTGTGACGTAATAGATAGGAAGCTGACGTCATTAAAAACAATTGTGATGTCACTGATATAGCTATGACGTCACCACGGGGTAAGGGAGATGTCACTGGGAAGAACTAATTAGTGTGGGATCGTCACCTGAGCCGGAAGCACAGGTGCATGTGTATGTAAATTAAGACGCGAGGTTTCCGGGACAAGGAGGAAGGAAAGAGGAGAGAAGAGGAGGGAAGAGGGGAGGTAGGAAAGAAGGGAAGAAGAAGGAAGGGAGAGAAGATGGCGTGAGGAGGAGAAGTAAGAAGAAAGGGAGATGGAAGGGATGAGAAAATAGAGGGAGGAGGAGAAAGGAAGGGAACAGGGAGAAGGAAGGAAGGAGAGAAGAGTAGGAAGGAAGAAAAGTAGGAAAGGAGGAGATAGGGAGAGGGAAAGGAGGAGGAGAATGTATAGCCCAAAGGGAGAGGAAGTTTAATTACTTGAAATAGTTGAAGTTATCTTAAAGGTAGAGGCGGGCGGTGTGTAGGGATGGACAGGTATATATTTGCTAATTAACCTGTAGTATATGGATGGTCATGTCTCATAAACCTCTCTACATAACACACACACACACACACACACACACACACACACTGTTTCCCTCTCTTCATTGTTATTCCATCATTCTTATTAATGTACTAGATGTCTTCTCCAGCCCTCCCCTTTCACAATGGCTACAGTAATGTGTTCTGAATTAGCCTTCCCCGTCACCTAACCTAACGATAGGCTAATTTAACCTAACTTAACCTAACTTAATGCTAATTTACCCTAACCTAACCCTACCAAATCTAACCTAACCTAACCTAACCTACTCTAACCTAACGTGACAGAGAGAGAGAGAGAGAGAGGAGAGAGAGAGAGAGAGAGAGAGAGAGAGAGAGAGAAGAGAGAGACAGACGAAAAACAGACAGACAGACAGACAGACATTTCCTCCCTGCCTGGTCCTGCACTGTATATGTCAAACATGCAAATCTGACAGCTTGAATCTGACAGCTTGGTGGTGAGATTCGAAACTTGTGGGGTGGAATGATTCTTTTGTGTTGAGTGATTGCTTCGAGGATGAGATGCGACTAGTGGTGGTTGAGGATGGTGGTAGATGGGATAGTGGTAGGTGGGATGGTGGTAGTTGGTGAGCGTGGTGTGATGAGAGCTGAGTGTGGTGATGCTGAATGGTGGTAGGATGGATGGTGGTAGGTGATAGTGGTGGTTGTATGGTCATGTTGGAAGTAACGGTGATGTATGTGGTATGTGTATGATGGTGGCATGTGCCGACTGGTAGTAGTGGTTGTCGTAGTACCACTATTAGCACCTGTTGCCTCAATTAGCACCTGAGAGTACTAATTAACATCTGCCGCTTCTAATTAGCACCTGGCAGTACTAATTTGCCCCGGTAGTTGTAGTCTGCGATGGACCGAGGCAGTACAGGTATTTACAGGGGTGGAGAGTGGGGCGAAGTTGCCGACGTTCTTATTGCTTTTTGACTCGTAACTTATGAGCTTCGAAACCTCCTCCGAAGACCTTCCGAAACTTTAATTAAGTCTTGATCTTCTGTGATTACCGGCAACCTCTCTTAACCGAATGTTGGCCGCGTTAGAGGGACGGATAATCGGTTGTTGTGAATAGATAATGGTTTTGTTCGTGGGTGTTGTTATATACGGATAATTGGTTTTAGTGAATGGATTTTTAACCAACACGAAACATTAAGTTAAATCAAATGAATACCCAACCAACACGAACGAATCTTCAACCAATACGAACGAATCTTCAACCAATACGAACGAATCTTCAACCAATACGAAAGAATCTTCAACCAATACGAAAGAATCTTCAACCAATACGAACGAAAATTCAACCAAAATGAACGAACCCTCAACCAAAACAAATCCCCAACCAATTACAACGAATCTTCAACCAACACAAACGAAAATACAACCCCCCACAAAAAACTACAATAAAATGCCATATACAATCTACCGCATCTGTATTCATTGTATTTTGTTTTCATATCTGTCTGTAAGCCAATGTATGAAAGAGAAAAGCAAGTTAAAAAAAAATGTTTGGGTAAAAATATCGAGATTGAGTGGAATTGGAATTTGTATATATGAGAGGGAGGGAGAGGGAAGGTTAGGTTGAGAGGGAGGGAGAGGGAGGGAGAGGGAAGGTTAGGGCGTGAGGGGAGAGGTGTGATAATAGAGAATGATATTATAACTCCCCTCTCTCTCTCTCTCTCTGTCTCTCTCTCTCTCTCTCTCTCTCTCTCTCTCTATCTCTATCTCTCTCTCTCTTTCTGTCTGACTGTCTGTCTCGCTCTCGTTCCCACTTTCTCACTTATAAACTTTTCACTCTCTCAGTCTCTTTCTCTCGACTTCTCTCTTACATACCCTCACTCTCTCTCAAACTCTCCAACACACACACACACACACACACACTCTCTCTCTCTCTCTCTCTCTCTCTCTCTCTCTCTCTCTCTCTCTCTCTCTCTCTCTCTCTTATACTGAAGCACTGCTGTCACAACAACCAGATCGCAACATACTAATGACGACGCCAGCCAGGGTGAACAAAAAACACCTTATATATATATAATGTTCCTCCCTTAAAAATATGTGTGAAAAACAGTGAAAAATTGTGAAAAAGAAACGAAAAATTATGAAAACAATATAAACAAAACACGAAAAATAAAGAAAAAGTTAAAAAGGTGAATAAAAACAGGAAAATTTACAAAAAATACACGAAAAATTATATAAAAAACTGAAGAAAAAAATACACCATGAAAAATTAGACTTAAGCACCAATAAAAACTAAAAATCAAACAGTTATTAAAAATTACCATCGTTAACATAACCCAGAATCTCTTATCATTAACTGCATAAAATCTCGTTAAACTTGATCCCCCACGAGCGTATAACATCCATTAACCAGGTCAGTAGAGGCTGAAATTAAGGTTATTTACATGTAGCCCAAACAGGTAGAGTTCATTAGCGGATAACAAGAGGAGAAAATGTATAGAAATTGTTGTTTTTATGGGAATACAGTGGAGCCTCCATTTAACGGATTATATAGAGGAGACAGTCCGTTAAATCGAGTTTTTGTAAAATGTAAAGCCTCCATTTAACAGACTTTATGATGATTTAAGTCCATTAAATCGAGGTTGTTAAATGTGAGACCTCTATTATATGGAGGTGGAAGGAAGATAAATTGAGGTTCCGTTAAATGTGAAACCTCCATTTAACGGACAATAATGAGAATGAAATCCATTAAATCGAGGTTCTATCATCCTCCTCTTCCTCCTCCTCCTCATCATCATCATCATCATCATCATCATCATCATCATCATCATCATCATCATCACTACAATACCACCACACAGGTAAACACTCCCCCACACACCTGACACAGACGCAGGTGTGTGTGTGGCCACCAGCTCGTGTACTCAGTTTCGGGGAAATGTCTCTGAAAGCTTCAAGAAAAATCCCCACAGGACAGATATGAACAGCATATGCTCGTAAAATGACTTAAAGTTACACATTTGCTACAACTCTCACGGGGGAGGAGGCGGAGGGAGGTGGGAGGAGGAGGTGGGGAGAGGAGGTGGGAGGAGGGTGGGAGAGGAGGTGGGAGGAGGAGGGGGAGGGTGGGAGGGGGGATCTTTACCCACCACCACCACCACCACCAACACCACCACCACCACCGAGCTTGATTCTCATTCCACCGCTTGAATTGTGGCGATGGTAAAATTGTTGCCCGTGTTTTCATAGTCCGTCTGTTGGGTTACGTCAGGTTAGGTTAACATAAGGATGGTTAATTATCAGGTTAAATAAACTGGGATGCTTAAACCTCACATTATCCGAAACTCTTCACAAACTTCCAAGACAACATATATAGTGGTAGGGTAATGGTGGTGTAGTAGTAGTAGTAGTAGTAGTAGTAGTAGTAGTAGTAGTGGTAGTTGCAGATATTGACTATGAGGAAACAGTCACTGATTGCCGCATAGATCTGTGGTTCAACTAATTCAACACGGCTAGGATAGCTACTTATGTATTAGGATATTTAATTATTAAGGTAATAAAATGATGGCGAAGGTATGGCTATTAGGGGAGGCTGGAGGCCACGATTAAAAAGAGAAAAGTAAAAAATAATAGTGGTGTTGGTGGTAGTAGTAGTAGTAGTAATAGTAGTCGTAGTAGTAGATGGTGGGAGTTTTTCAGGTCGTTTTATAGGTAGTGTGGTAGAGTGGCTGGTCGTCTTTAACCCCGGGAGCACTGTGAGGTCCTGAGCTCTTGACACATGACAAATTAAGACGCACGCAAAAAAAATAAAGAAAACGTTTACTTTCTGATTTTTTATGATATGAAAATTAGGACTATTTCTTAAAGGAACAAAAATAAAGATAAATAGGTTAGGTTAGGTTAGGTTAGGTTAGGCTAGGTTAGGTTAGGTTAGGTTAGGTTAGGTTAGGTTAGGTTAGATATGGATTCAGATTTATTTCAATATGATTGGAAGAAATAAGATTACTTTATCCATGAAAATTTGACACAAGCGCCCATTTCCCCACACACAAATACACACTCACTAAATCAAATATAATACATCTGTAAAACACTGCATCAACAATTCACATTAAAACACACGTACAAAAAATCCATTAACATTCAAATTTTCAAAACAGGAGCAACGCTTCCCCCTCCTAAAATGGCAGGGAAATATTGTCTATATTCGGATGCAGGGAACAAATTAGCACAGTTAGGGTAAGGAAGCAAAGTGTTCAGAATGAAATTTATCTCGGAATATTTTGGAAATTCCCATTCTCCCCACTGTACGTCTTATCTTAGTGAAAGTCGTGTGGGGTAAATAAGGTTCTGGGGGACTAATATACACCATGCAACACCTTTAATTTACACCCTGCAACACCCACCTTAAATTTACACCATGCAACACCCACCCTTAACTTAACCCTTCATCACCCTTTACTCACAACCCTGCAACACCCAACCTTAAATTTACACCCTGCAACACCCACCTTTATTTACACCCTGCAACACCCACCTTTAATTTACACCCTGCAACACCCACCATTAATTTACACCCCACCCTAAAATAGACTCAGAACAAAGGAAGAAACAGCGCCGGATACTCACCTTGAGGGGGAAGCCTTTACCCATAGCGACAGAGAAGGTGTCCGAGACGAGATCCTCACCAAAGGCGGCCAAGGTGCAGCCCGGGTCATTAGCTCTTAGGTAGTCAAGCACTGCTGAGTCTCCTACCATCAGGTCTAGCCTCCCGGTACTGTGGATAATAACAAAGGGTTAGTGTACTGGGTAGAGAGAGAGAGAGAGAGAGAGAGAGAGAGAGAGAGAGAGAGTGTGTGTGTGTGTGTGTGTGTGTGTGTGTATACCATCACTGCAACACACCATCACCAAAATACTCTCCATAAATACCCAACATAGGATGACTCAGCAACATACATTATGTCCAATATGTGTCAAACAAAATCTCTGATAAAATCCATCACCCAATATATCATAAAAGCTGCCATATTGTAATATTGATACACGCCACTTCAATAGTGTTACAATATTGCTATTTAAAGTCCCGTTGGTATTATGGGTATTGTAGTGTAGGTGAATTCATTAACTTATATTAGCAAAGGCCTTGGGAAATAACTTCAATTTCAGTATATTTCTTGGTATTCAGTCCTATGTATTCTATGTATAAATATCCTATGTATTCTATGTATAAAGATCCTATGTATTCTATGTATCACAATGTATCACGTTAATAGTCTACACAAGCACGGAGCAGGATGAGACATTGCAGAAATACTTTGAAGTTGCAAATTGCAATCCAAAAAAATGCTAGAAGATAAAACTGCAATTACGTGTGACAGAGACTAAGGCTGGCATTGTAAAAGTGGGCGTGTAGAAGTGAGAGGGAGAGGGAAAGAAGGAGAGGGAGTGAGTGGGAGAGTGGGAGGGATACTGGTGAGGACGAAGAGAGAGAGGGAAGGGTACTAGCGACAATAGAAGAGAGGGGGAGAGGGAGAGGAGAGGGGGAGTGAGGGAGAGAGAATGAGAGGGAGAGTGGGAGGGATACTGGTGAGGACGAAGAGAGTGAAAACATACAAAACGAGAGATAGAGACAAACAGAAGAAGGAAATAGATAAACAGAGAGAGAAAGAATGAGAAAAAGAAAGAAGGCACACGGAGATAGAAAGATTAAAAGAAACACCGACAGAATATAGAAAGCGAGACAGGTACAGACAAGGAAAGAAAGAGAGATAGAGATTGAAAGAAACACACAGACAGAATACTATAGAAAGAGAAAGAGAAAGAGAAAGAGAGAGAGAGAGAAAGTACGAAAGGAAGAGAGAGAGAGAGAGAGAGATATATAAAGGTTCACACGGAATTGGGGTGGAACAAATATTGGGTCTTGGTAAGTAATGGAAGCACCGAAGCCTTGTCATCTGTATATTTGGGAAAGGGAGAAAATAGGGGAAAAGGGAGAGACTAGGAGAAAGGGGAGAGAATAGGGGAAAAGGGGAGAGAACAGGGGAAAAGGGAGAGAATAGAAGAAAAGAGAAAGAATAGGGGGAAAGAGGAGAACATAGGGGAAAAGGGAGATGACGTTGTTGGCTTCTACAGTCCTCACTCTCTATATTATTGTGACCTTTTCCTTCGAACTTTTGACCTTCTGAAACAAGGAGTAATTAGGGGTCATGATAATAAACACATAGTGAATATAAACATTTTCCATCATTCCATTCCTGAGTTATATTATAGACGGACTTTAATCACAGTTAATGACCCTTAACCTTTGACCTAATTACCTCAAAATCAATAGGGCTCTGGTGATGAGTATGATGAATATAAACACCTAGCATGATAAGTATAATGCCACCCGTTTTTAAGTTATCATGCGGACAAACACAGCAACAGGAGACACAGGCCGGTCAACTCACGGGATATGTCACCTGATGAGTCTATGTAAGCATTTTATTGTTCACAGCTTAGGCAAGGTAATTAGCGCCTGACATAAACCTGCAACTAATGAACGGGTAACGAGCACTACCATCATTAGGAAGCGCTTGTCGTTAGAGGTAATACTAACAACGAGGGTGATTAATGTCGGCCATAACAGAATGATGTACTTGTTTTTGAGCCTTGGGGGAGGTGATGAAAGAATGTTTGTTTTGTGTGTTTGTTTGTGTTTGTTTGTGTTTGTATGGCGTATGGGGGGGGATTATGGGGAAACAAGTAAAGGGAAAGGAATGAGAGAGACCTCGCAATCTGTCAACGTCAGACTCATGTAAATCCTCAATTATTTTTACAATACAAGGGATTAAACTGATGTCAAAATCCCCTCACACACACATATTAATCTCCCAGTACAGAACCGTCGAAAGGATTATAAGGATTAAGCATTAGGGTTAGGGGGATTAATCCATGAAAAATCCACCCAGGTAAACAGTGATGGCGTGTTATGGTGTGATATATAGGGTGTGTAATCCCCGTTGTATCCAGGGTTCATGAGTGTGTGTGTGTTATCGACATGAAACACACTTTAAAATAGGGCGATGCTAAATCCTCGAATCCGGACCCTAACTGAATCCGAACCCGAACCCTAACTGAATCCGAACCCGAACCTGAACCCCGAAATCGAACCCAAACCCCAAATATGAACCCCCCGAAATTACATGTTAAATATCACCCCGGTTGCTTTCAGGAGGTTAGGTTCATGTTAGGTTAGGTTAGGTGAACATAAAATCCCACTGAACTTCACAAAATACACACACACACACACACACACGCACAACCCATCAGTAACTACAGACCAAGTAAGAGATGACCACAAGAAGGTGTGTGTGTGTGTGTGTGTGCTATCCCAAGACGTTGAAGCACACCTCAAACATCACCTGAAGCACCTGAAGCACACCTAAAGCACACCTAAAGCACACCTGAAGCACACCTGAAACACCTGATGCTTACTAACATAATTCTCCTCACTGCCTCAAGGACTCCACCACAGTTCACACAGCTCAAAGGAGTTTTATTGTTATGGTTCCGTATTTTTAAAAGTTCGTAAGTTAAATTTTTCTCTTAACTGTATTTTTAAAAGTTCGTAAGGAAATTCCGTTATATAGAGGGTCCGATAGAATATGAAATGTCCATATAACGAGCTATAAGGAGGTAAAAGTACGTTATATCGAGGGTTCGTTAGATGCGAAACCCTCTATTTAACAAATTTCCTTTTGGAAGTGAAACCTCCATATAACGGACAATATAGAGAGAAGAATCCGTTATATGGAGGTCTCACTACTTCAACAAACAAATTATCCACAACAGACTGTCACTTTGTTTATGGAGGTAAATACCATTCTTTACCTGGACTGTCAGGTGAGCCGGCCCCCTCATTACTCACAGGTAGGACACCAATTATTACATTCATCACAGGTGCTGAAGGTACGTGGGTTAGTGTCTGTCTGTCTGTCTATCTGTTTACGTGTGAATTGCTTATCTATCTATCTATCTGTGTTTGTGTGTGTGTGTGTGTGTGCGTGTGTGTGTGTGTGTCCCCATAAAAAGTGAATCACCACCTCAACTCTCCATAAATTCATCATTCTTCAACCACTATCATTCACTCACCTCAATCTCCACCCCTCTCCTCTACCACCCCTCCACCCCTCTACCACCCTCCCTCTCTCCCTCCCTACCACCCCTTTCCAGCCCTCTCCCCTCACCACCCCCCCTCAGCCCTCTCCCTCTACACTACCCACCCCTCTCCCTCCCCCACCCCCTCCCCACCCCTCTCCCTCTCCACCTCTCTCCCAAGCTTCACCCCCTCCCAGCCCACCTCTCCCTCTACCACCCCACTCCAGCCCCTCTTCCTCTACAACCCCCCCCACTCCACCCCTCTCCCCCTACCATCCCTCCACCCCTCTCCCCCCCACCACCCCTCCATTTAAGATGTTGAGGATGGGGCTATATTTATCACTCTCTGAAAGTCTTGATATCTTACTCATAGATGGAATATTACTGTGTGTGTGTGTGTGTGTGTGTGTGTGTGTGTGTGTGTGTGTGTGTGTGTGTGTGTGTGTGTGTGTGTGTGTGTGTGTGTGTGTGTGTGTGTGTGTGTGTGTGTGTGTGTGCGTTATGTAGGAAGAGAGAATAAAATTACATCACTAAATTGAAATAAACTGCTCAGGAAAACACAGAAAAGGGGATAAATCATTGGAGAACAGGTAAATGGTGGTTAATTGGTAGTGGTGGTAGTAGTGGTGATGATAATTGGTAGTGGTAGTATTGAGTGGTGTTCAATGGTAGTGGTAGTAGTAGTGGTAGTGGTGGTAGTAGTGGTGGCAGTGGTAGTGATAGTGGTGGTAGTGGTGATGCCAGATCATTGAGAATCTAGACTTCGAAGCGGCTTGGAGAGAGAGAGAGTAACGAATAGATAATTGGATAAATAGATAGATGGATAAAGTTAAAAGTACGTTATGTGTAAGTGTACGTATGTGTGTTTATATATGTATGTATGTATGTGTGCGCGTGGGCCTGTATGTACGTAAAAATGAACATACATTTATCTTGCAGCATCGTCAGGAGAATTTATTAATCTTACCCTGGTAGGAGCGCTTCTCTCAACACCATATTCTTGTAGTGCTGTGGATACTCTCATTAGACTGACCATTTTTCATCCAGAGAGAGAGAGAGAGAGAGAGAGAGAGAGAGAGAGATGGATTATCGCTCGCTCACACACACACACACACACACACCACAAGGAACATTACAAAAATAAAAGAAAAAAAACCCTTTTCACTCACAACAACAACAACAACAACCACAAACTTTCACTGTAAATCTTTCATTGTATGTGAGCAATATAGCATCCATCCATCCATCCATCCATCCATCCATCCATCCATCCATCCATCCATCCATCCATTCTTCCAGCTACTCTACTTGATGACAGTCTAATACATTTTTGAGAGTCATTCATCATCATCACAATTCCATTTTTCTCTCTCTCTTCCCTTCTCATTACATCTCTCTCTCTCTCTCTCTCTCTCTCTCTCTCTCTCTCTCTCTCTCTCTCTCTCTCTCTCTCTCTCTCTCTCTTTATCTCTCCTATCCCCTCCCTATCTTTATCTCTCCATCCCCAGAACCCAAAAGGTATTCCCAAGCCAACGTCATCGTTCCACCAAGGGCCAACCAGTTCTGGGAATTGAATTGGAGACGAAGAGAAAGATCTACACCTCCTCACCATCGTCAACAACAACTACCTAATTCTTA